GATGGTGCAAACAAAAGTACATCATAAGAAAAGGCAAGTGGTGATCTTCATTATATTGATTCTTTTGTGGGAGGCAGGTTCAGAATCGATTCAGTATTCTATACTGGAGGAGACAGAAAGTGGCACATTTGTGGCCAACCTGACAAAGGACCTGGGACTCAGGATGGGAGAGCTGGCTGCCCGGGCCGCCCGGGTTGTTTTTAAGGGGAATAGGCAGTATTTGCAGTTTGATCCAGAGACCTATGATTTGCTGCTAAATGAAAAACTGGACCGGGAGGAGCTTTGCGGCTCTACTGAGCCCTGTGTGCTACCCTTCCAAGTGTTACTGGAAAATCCGTTGCAGTTTTTTCAGGCTGCCTTGCTAATTAGAGATATAAATGACCACAGCCCAGAGTTCCCCGCTAGAGAAATGCTACTAAAAATATCAGAAATTACTATGCCAGGAAAGGTATTTCCTTTGAAAATGGCACAGGATTTAGACGCTGGTAGCAACAGCCTTCAGAGCTACAAAATCAGCTCCAATCCTCACTTCCACGTTGTCACTCGGAACCGCAAGGACGGCAGGAAGTCCCCAGAGCTGGTACTGGACAAGGCGTTGGACCGTGAGGAGCAGCCTGAGCTCAGGCTAATCCTCACAGCGCTGGATGGCGGGTCTCCGCCCCGGTCTGGGACCACAAAAATTCAGATCGTGGTCTTGGACAGCAATGACAACACCCCCGAGTTTGCTCAGGAGTTCTATGAGGCTCAAGTCCCTGAAAATAGCTCCCTGGGCTCTCTGGTTCTCACCGTCTCAGCGAGGGATTTAGACGCAGGATCTTTTGGGGAGGTATCTTATGCCTTATTTCAAGTCGATGATGTTAACCAACCCTTCGAAATAAACGCAAATACGGGAGAAATTCGACTGAGAAAGACATTGGATTTTGAGGAATTTCAATCATATCAGGTGGATGTTGAGGCCACAGATGGTGGGGGACTATCAGGAAAATGCAGTTTAGTCATCAAGGTCCTGGACGTGAATGACAATGCTCCCGAATTGACTATGTCGTCACTTACCAGCCCCATCCCTGAAAACCTGCCTGAGATCATAGTGGCAGTTTTCAGTGTATCAGATGCAGATTCTGGACATAACCAACAGGTTACTTGTTCTATAGATGACAATCTCCCCTTTCTTCTAAGACCATCCGTTGAAAATTTCTACACCTTGGTAACAGAAGGAGCGCTGGACAGAGAGAGCAGAGCCGAGTACACCATCACCATCACCGTCACTGACATGGGAACCCCCAGGCTGAAAACCGAGCACAACATAACCGTGCTGGTGTCCGACGTCAACGACAACGCCCCCGCCTTCACCCAGACCTCCTACACCCTGTCCGTCCGCGAGAACAACAGCCCCGCCCTGCACATCGGCAGCGTCCGCGCCACAGACAGAGACGCGGGCGCCAACGCCCAGGTCACCTACTCGCTGCTGCCGCCCCTCGACCCGCACGTGCCCCTGGCCTCCCTGGTATCCATCAACCCGGACAACGGCCACCTGTTCGCCCTGAGGTCCCTGGACTACGAGGCCCTGCGGGCGTTCGAGTTCCGCGTGGGCGCCGCCGACCGCGGCTCGCCCGCGCTCAGCAGCCAGGCGCTGGTGCGCGTGCTCGTGGCGGACGACAACGACAACGCGCCCTTCGTGCTGTACCCGCTGCAGAACGCCTCGGCGCCCTGCACCGAGCTGGTGCCCAGGGCGGCCGAGGCGGGCTACCTGGTGACCAAGGTGGTGGCGGTGGACGGCGACTCGGGCCAGAACGCCTGGCTGTCGTACCAGCTGCTCAAGGCCACGGAGCCCGGCCTCTTCGGCGTGTGGGCGCACAACGGCGAGGTGCGCACGGCCCGGCTGCTGAGCGAGCGCGACGCGGCCAAGCACAGGCTGCAGGTGCTGGTCAAGGACAACGGCGAGCCGCCGCTCTCGGCCAGCGTCACGCTGCACGTGCTGCTGGTGGACGGCTTCTCGCAGCCCTACCTGCCGGCCCCGGAAGCGGAAGCGGCGGACGCGGCCCCGGCCGCCCCTCTCACCGTCTACCTGGTGGTGGCCTTGGCGTCGGTGTCGTCGCTCTTCGTTTTCTCGGTGCTGGTGTTCGTCGCGGTGCGGCTGTGCAGGAGGGGCGGGGCGGCCTCGGTGAGTCGCTGCTCGGTGCCCGAGGGCCCCTTTCCGGGCCACCTGGTGGGACGTCAGCGCACGGGGACCCTGTCCCAGAGCTACCAGTACGAGGTGTGTCTGACGGGAGGCCCTGGGACCAGCGAGTTCAAGTTTCTGAAACCTGTTCACCCTAACTTCCCTCCCCAGGGCACTAGGAGGGAAATGGAGGAAAACCCCACCGTTCGGAATAGTTTCCTGTTCAGTTAAGTATCGGATTATTCTATTAAACCCTACTTAATAAGTTAGAAATCTCTTTTAAGTTAAACATACATGTTATTAATGCATATTATTGACGGTCCGTTTTCCTGATTATTTTATTACTGTTCCTTATGGTGAAATTTTAAAAAATCAGGTACTGGGTATGCACAGTATTTTCCCTAAATTATCGTTAGTAGTTTTTAAAAATTACTCTCACTCAAGTATATTTGAAAATTTGAACAAAAGTAAATTTTTATTTGCATTATTTAAAAAAATTTTAATTGAATAATCTATTCTTTTTACAAAAATTATATTCCAAAGTCCTTAGGATTGTATTTCTATGTAGTGGTGACAACTGTCATCACTACTGCTATGTAGGGAAAGTTTTAATGTATTTAATATTATTTAATCAGATATTTAAAATTTTAATGTAATTGATATTATTGAATGTATTTGATATCATTTAAAATGGAACTGGGCTTAACTAAATTATATTTAGTTGTGTTCTGTGTCCATATAAGTGAACTATCATGGCTCTTTTGTCAGGGATGACTACCAATCAATTCAATGAGTGTAGGGAACACTTACTGTTTTGTATTCCCAGTATAAGTTTAGGGTAACTAAAGTGTGGAAAACTAAAGATAAACACTAAAGATGACTAAATGCTAAAATAGCCATTCATATTTATGTGTATTTCAGTATACCACAATAGTCAATACATATTTTCTATGAATATAGACTTAACAAAATTGTCAACACATTAAATCAGTTTGTCAGCTTCATGTAAGAATATGCTGGCCTGTTTAAAACAACACCAAGCCAATTATAAATGCTTAATAAATATTTGCTAAATGTTATTAACATACCAATAGTGAATTTAAAAAAATAACTTTCAAGGAATTAGTAATACTAATATTCTCTTTACAATATAGTATCCTTGCCAATAAGTGAAATTATTAAATATCACTGTTTTAACTTTCCTTCTAAACAGAAAACATCCTTGTTCACCCTAATCTCTATTACAGAATATAAAGTGCTTGAGAGTACATTTTATCTCCTTGTCTTTGTCTAACAGTTTGCAAGTTCAGAGGTATTTTTGGTAAAATCCAAATTATACTTTTCAAACTCCTCCTCCTTCTATATGTGTGATACCTGCCAAGCCCTAAGTAAGTTATGAGTAGCAGGTTACTAGCTAATGTCAGATTTTCCCTTCCAGTGCTGTGTATGCACCATTTATCTTTATTAACCACAAAATCATTTACTTTCACAGTTTAACCCATATTTGATTTTATTTTTGTTGGTTATATTTGTAGTATTTTATGAAATATCCCTATTTACAAGGTCCCGTCAAAGTCTGGCAGTGACAATTGAGTGAATATTTTCTTTTTATCCTTAATTAAAATGGAACTGGGCTTAACTAAATTATATTTAGCTGTGTTCTGTGTCCAAATAAATGAACTATCATGGCTCTTTTGTCAGGGATGATTACTGATCAATTCAATGAGTGTAGGGAACCCTTACTGTTTTGTATTCCCAGATATTTCCCCTCTCCTCCTCCATTCTTCTTTGAGGGAACTGCTTCTTCTGCTATTCTTACTCCAACCACATGCCTTTACTTGTTGCAGTGGATTTTTTCAGTAACCCCATCTGCACAGTCCCAGAGGGTGTACGCTGGGATGGGCCCTGTCCAATGCTGACAGGTCAAAACCCTTCCCTAGAAAGTATATGTTTGACTTCATTGGCTTTATTGCCTTCTTCATGTTTGCAGAAAGACATTGCCTGAATTCAGAACTTACTGATTTCCAATAAAACAAATGGGCATTTCTTCTCAACTTTAGTGAGCTATGCACACAATGAGTTTATGAAGGAAAATAAATTCCCCAAGGTTATGTATACAGAGACTGAAAAGAAGTCACATTTTTCAAAAGTTACAGGCACACTGCAATTTGATTGGGAGTAGAAACTGGATTTAAAATTTTATAACTTCTTCTAACACGATAGAACAAATTAGTATTTTTGTAACAGAATGTAAGCTCCTGAGAGCAAGAAGTTTTGTGTTTAATTTACCGCTTTATCCTGAGAAGCTAGAAAAATTCCTGCACAGAGAAATACTTATTAACTAAATAAATAAATTTATCTTGAGCCCAGTTTTGTCTACTGAACTTGTACCTTTATAGAGAAGACGAATATATAGATAAATAGGTATTACTTTGCTCTCACAACTGTTGTTAGATACTTGAACAAAACTGCATCACAGGTGAGGGGGAAAGGAGTTTATAACACTCTATGACCCAAAAGGTGTTCAATGCAGTTTAGCTATTATTACATTACTCTTTGAAATAAAGACTACCTGAAGTTGTGAAGCAGAACGCTTGGTGGCGCTGCAGGTTAAGAGAGTGAAAAACTGTCGCTGCATGCTCCCCGACTCCATAAAAACCGATCCGCTTCTGGCAGCTCACAAAGGAAACATTTATACTGATGGGTAAAGAAGATTTCAGAGGCAGCTATCCCCCTGTCAATGTTAAGAGCTAACTCAAGATTACTGAACCAAGATAGCAGAGTTGGCTGCAAAGCAATTATTTTGTGATTACATACTGCATCTTTTAGACCCGGAGGAACCATGGAGACGCCGCTACCCAAAGCGACGCAAAAAAGGCAAGTGACTGCCATTATTATTCTATTACTATTGTGGGAGGTGGGTGGTGAGGTCATTAAGTATTCCGTTCTAGAAGAGAGACACAGCGGCTCATTTGTGGCCAACCTAGCAAAAGATCTGGGGTTGGGCTTAGGAGAGCTGGCTTCGCGCGGCGCCCGGATTCTTTCCAAAGGGAATAAACAGCATTTGCAGGTCGAGCACAAGAGTGGGAATTTGCTCCTAAAAGAAAAACTGGACCGGGAAGAGTTGTGCGGTGACATGGATCCATGTATACTGCATTTCCAGGTGTTACTGAAAAACCCGGTGCAGTTTATTCAAGGTGAATTACAGCTCCAAGACGTAAATGACCATGCCCCTGAGTTCCTGGAAAATGAAATCCTACTGAAAATCTCAGAAAGTAGCCATACAGGGACTGCATTTCCTTTGAAAATAGCTCAAGATTTAGATGTGGGCAGTAACACAGTTCAGAACTACACAATTAGCACCAACTTCCATTTCCAACTTTTCACTCGAAATCGCAGCGACGGCAGGAAATACCCGGAGCTGGTGCTGGCCAAAGAGCTGGACCGTGAGGAGCAGCCAGAGCTCAGGTTAACTCTCATGGCGCTGGATGGTGGGTCACCTCCAAAGACTGGGACTTCCCAGGTTCTCATCATGGTCCTGGACATAAATGACAACGCCCCTGAATTTGCTCGGCAGCTCTACGAGGTGCAGGTCCCAGAGAACAGCCCTAGAGGCTCCCTTGTCATCACTGTCTCTGCCAGAGATTTGGATGCTGGGACCCACGGAGAGCTCTCCTACTCATTTTTCCAATCATCAAATCAAGTCATTCAGGCCTTTGAAATCAACACAGTAACGGGGGATATTCGATTAAAAAAAATGTTGGATTTTGAGGAAATTCGATCTTACCGTATGGAAATTGAGGCCTCAGACGGCGGGGGTCTTTCAGGAAAATGCACTGTAGCCATAGAAGTGACGGATGTAAACGACAACGCCCCTGAATTGACCATGTCATTGCTCATGAATGATATCCCAGAAAACACCCCTGACACTGTGGTCGCTATTTTCGGAATTTCAGATCCAGACGCCGGGGACAATGGCAAAATGATGTGTTACATCCAAGACCATCTCCCATTCCTTCTGAAAATTTCTGCAGAAAATTTCTACACCTTGGTAACAGAAGGAGCGCTGGACAGAGAGAGCAGAGCCAAGTACAACATCACCATCACCGTCACAGATATGGGAACCCCCAGGCTGAAAACCGAGCACAACATAACCGTGCTGGTGTCCGACGTCAACGACAACGCCCCCGCCTTCACCCAGACCTCCTACACCCTGTCCGTCCGCGAGAACAACAGCCCCGCCCTGCACATCGGCAGCGTCCGCGCCACAGACAGAGACGCGGGCGCCAACGCCCAGGTCACCTACTCGCTGCTGCCGCCCCTCGACCCGCACGTGCCCCTGGCCTCCCTGGTATCCATCAACCCGGACAACGGCCACCTGTTCGCCCTGAGGTCCCTGGACTACGAGGCCCTGCGGGCGTTCGAGTTCCGCGTGGGCGCCGCCGACCGCGGCTCGCCCGCGCTCAGCAGCCAGGCGCTGGTGCGCGTGCTCGTGGCGGACGACAACGACAACGCGCCCTTCGTGCTGTACCCGCTGCAGAACGCCTCGGCGCCCTGCACCGAGCTGGTGCCCAGGGCGGCCGAGGCGGGCTACCTGGTGACCAAGGTGGTGGCGGTGGACGGCGACTCGGGCCAGAACGCCTGGCTGTCGTACCAGCTGCTCAAGGCCACGGAGCCCGGCCTCTTCGGCGTGTGGGCGCACAACGGCGAGGTGCGCACGGCCCGGCTGCTGAGCGAGCGCGACGCGGCCAAGCACAGGCTGCTGGTGCTGGTCAAGGACAACGGCGAGCCACCGCTCTCGGCCAGCGTCACGCTGCACGTGCTGCTGGTGGACGGCTTCTCGCAGCCCTACCTGCCGGCCCCGGAAGCGGAAGCGGCGGACGCGGCCCCGGCCGCCCCGCTCACCGTCTACCTGGTGGTGGCCTTGGCGTCCGTGTCGTCGCTCTTTGTCTTCTCGGTGCTGGTGTTCGTCGCGGTGTGGCTGTGCAGGAGGGGCGGGGCGGCCTCGGTGGGTCGCTGCTCGGTGCCTGAGGGGCCCTTTCCGGACCACCTAGTCGGCGTCAGCGGCACGGGGACCCTGTCCCAGAGCTACCAGTATGAGGTGTGTCTGACGGGAGGCTCCGGGACCAGGGAGTTCAAGTGTCTGAAACCTCTTGTCCCCAACATCATGGGTGAAGGGGTTGGTACGGACACCGAGGAAAACTCGAACTTTAGAAACCACTTGGGGTTCAATTAAGAATCTCACTTGACAAGACGTGATAAATGATCATATTCACTAATGTATTAATTTCCAACCCTTTCATTCACATAGCGCTTACATATTCACTCATTCGTAAGTTTTGTCATATTTATAGTTTGAAGTGTTTTACATTCAGAATCTCTAGGTGTTTTTTATTGTTGCTGTCTTTTTTTTTTTTTTTTAAGCCCTTCACATTTTGCATGTGAGATGAGACATTAAATGGTGAAATGGTGTTTCTCAGTTTTCTGGTGGTCAGATTTTTGGAAGTCACAAATGTTTTCAGGTTCCTGATATATGAGCTTGTTCGTTGATATCTTGTTATGACTAAGAATTATGTTTTACGATTATCATAGCATGTCAGGCTATTGTAAATGATGGCTTTTAGGTTTAAAAATAATTTTCACCTATGCAAAAAATTTTGTGACCTCGAATATCGTTGGATTTCTGTAGTGTTGTTTTGAAAACACTATTGTCTTTCCTCAAATGAACTAATATTTTATCTGGATGTTTTCTGAGTATTTTCTTTTTCAAAATTGATATTATTTAGACCGTCTGCTAGAATTTATAAGGACTTAATCCCAGTTAAATAGAAAAAATATTGGTAGAGTTATGATTTCTTTTTCATAATAAATGGTTTTTAGTATGCAAATAATGATTTTCATTCTTTTAAAATAATATGTAGTCACATGATTCAAACATATTCAATAAGACCAAAAAAGAAAGTGAATTAACACCATGATTCTCCCACTCATAAATAATTATCAATGTCATCATCATTCTAAAATATTTCTATGATGCTTATAAGTTACTAGCTGGATGGAAATAATTTTATAAAACGAATCTGTAAGAAATTGCTTCTTTATAATTAAAACCATCAGATTTTACTGAAATATAATAAAAATAATATGAAACTACAGAACTTGCTTAAGCTTAGGTAAATATTCCCTATAAGGTTAACAAAGAGGAGTATGGTGCATATAAGATATTAGCAATGATCAACTGCCTGTTGAAAAACGAACAAACAAACATTCTTACACTTCCTCCTCTCCTCACCTTACTTTATACTTTTGTTATATGTAGTTACCTTAACAATGTTTATAACACTTACAATGTGTTTTAAAAGGATAATCTTCATAATTGTTTAGACATTTTATGTTTCAAATATTTAATTTGTCATATAACACTACAACTTTTTTCAAGTTTATTCAAGTCTGTCCAGAGGTAACAACTTTTGAACCTTTTGTTTTTTTTTCCCCCATGATATTTGCCTCCATATTTCTAAATAATATGCTTACAAAATGCTTTTTCTCAAATTTAAGTTTTAGATATTATCCATTTACTTCCAAAGGGCACACACACAAACTTGCACATTTCTTCTACCCCATCCTCTCTCATACCAATATCATTATTCTGTTTAAATAGTGTTTAAATAATGATGACTTTGTAAATATCACTTAGACCCAAACCTCATATTGCTCTAAGATTTTGTTTCTATTTCTTTACTCTTAAGTTAATAATTGCCTCATTTTCCACTTTACTTAAAAACCCTTAGAAGAAAACATAGGTGTAAATTTTTCTATGTACATATTTTAAAGTTATCCCCATACTTTCTAAAGTCTAAAGCTCCTCATTGTATTATTAAGCCCATAAAAAAAACCCTCTCAGTTCCATTATTTTTTCTTGGAGCTATTGTGGAGCCACCCAGACTCCTGCTCAATTGTACACTATTTTCTCTCTAGATCTACTCCACAGCTGGCAGTTTGGGATTTGCTATACCCTTCATCCTGGACATTTCTTTTCTCTCTCTCATGTGTTTGATTTCATTTTCTGCATTTATTATGTCTTCCTCTTTATTGGTTTACCCCCCTAAATTCCTGAAAAATATTTGGTGATAAATTTATTCAGAACTTGAACATCTGAAAATTTTGGATGCTATAAAATCAAATGTTGATTTGTTGATTTTGTTGGATGTGGAATTATAGGTGAGGAATTATTTGCTACTAGTATTTTGAAGGCATTGCTTCATTGTCTTCTAATCTCCAATGTTGAGATATTCAACATTCTGATTACCCATTTTTTCTGAGACCTATTTTTTTCTTAGATCCCTGGTTCTCAACTGGGGGCAAATTTGCCATCCAGCAACATCTGGTAATGTGTGGAAACGTTTTTGATTGTCACAAGTGGAGGAGATGGTGCTAGTGGCATCTGGTGGGTAGAGGCCAGGAATGCTGCTAAACATTCTACAATGCACTGGACAGCCCCCTGCCCACAAAGAAGTATATGGCCCCAAATGCCAATAGTGTTGTAGCTGAGAAACCTCGCTCAAGATGAAATTAGGTCATTATATATTATCTCCATTGTTGTAGAATTTCTTAATTATGTGTAAGAATTCTGTCGTTTATTGTGATAAATACCCAATGAGATTTGTCAATCTTGTGTAATGTGTTCTTTAGACTAAGACAGGATTTGGGATTTGTGTGTGTGTGTGTGTGTGTGTGTGTGTGTGTGTGTGTAATTTAAAAAATGATTTCCTCTATTCAGTGTTCTTTGTTTTCTTATTCTGTAACTCTTGTTAGTTGTATAGTGACCTCCTTGGTTGATATTTAATTTTTCTTAACATTTCTCTATTTACTATTTTTGTCGTTATTTCCCTGGATTCTAATAGATTTTCTCAACCTATTTTTTAACCCTTCTGATTGAGTTTTAAACTTTTGCTAGTATAGTTTTCCTCTCAAAAAGCTCTCTTGTTCTCTGAAGGTTCTTTCTATAGCTTTTTAGTTTTTAATTTTTAAATTGAGATGTAATTTACATACCCTAACAGTCACATTTTAAAGCCGTTCAGTGGTTTTTAGTATATTCAAACAGTTGTACAATCATTACCACTGTCTAATTCCAGAACATTTTCATCACCCTGAAAAGAAACCTGGTTCCCATTAGTGGTTACTTTCCCTTCTCTCCTCCCTCTAGCCTTCAGCAACCACTGATCAACTTTATGTCTCTATGGATTTGTCTGTTCTGGACATTTTATATAAATGGAATCATACAACATGTAGCCTTTTGGGTCTGTCTTCATTCACTTAGCATGTTTCCAAGGTTCATCCATGTCGTGGCACATATCAATACTTCATTCCTTTTTATGGCCAAATAATATTAATGTGGTATTGATGTACCACATTTTATCAGCTGATGGACGTTTGGGTTTATTTCCACTTTTTCTCTATTATGAATAATGCTGCTGTGAACATTCATGTACAAGTTTTTATGTGGATGTATGTTTTTGATCCTCTTGGGCGTATACCCAGAATTAGAATTGCTAGGTCATAAATACAGTTACTCTGTTTAACTTCTTAAGAAATGTCAAACTGTTTTCCAAAGTAACTGTACCATTTAACATTCCCATTGACAGTGTAGGAGGGTTCCAGTTTCTCCTCACCAACACTTGTTATTTTCTTTTTGATTATAGCTATCCTAGATGGTGTGAAGTAGTATCTCATTGTGGTTTGGTTTGCATTTCCCAGATGGCAAATGATGTTGAGCATCTTTTCATTTGCTTATTGACCATCTGAATATCTTCTTTGGAGAAATATCCACTCAAATGCTTTGCACATTTAAAAATAGGATTTTGGTCTTTTTATTGTTGAGTTGGAGTAGTTCTTTATTCTGGATACTAGACCCTTATTAGACATATGATTTACAAATATTTTCTCCTATTCTGTGGTTTGTCTTTTAAATTTATTGATAGTATCCTTTGAAGCACAAAAGATTTTTTTATTTTAATGAAACCCAATTTATTTATTTTTTCCTTTGGTTGCTTATTATGCTTTTGGTGTCATATCTAAAACATCATTGCCTAATCCAAAGTCATGAAGATTTACACCTATGTTTTCTTCTAAGGGTTTTATAGTTTTAGCCCTTACAATTAGGTCTTTATCAATCAATGGCAGCCTTTTATTGTATCACAGAGACTTGGTCTTTTCTTATACCTCTGAAGATATTAATTTTAATTAATTTTAAGGTTTTTAAAATTTTTCTTCTAATCCTAGCATTTCATTTTTCTTTAGTATTACTTTTATCCTCTTTGTCTTTGTTCTCCACTCTCATGTTAGACTTTCCTTTTTATGTATTATGCTGCTTGGCTGTCTGTATTTTGTTTTTGTTCTTTTTCCATGAGACAATAAAAAGCTGATTAGGCACTGCATATTTGGGTGGGACTAGTTGAGTGGTGGATCTCACCTTAGGTTAATTAAATAGGAACAACATTTTGCTTGGGGACCAAAAGTTAATATCTGTAAATCTCTTCTCTTGGGCCTATGTTGTTTTCCAGAGAAGAATTCAGTAAGAATGGGAGTAGTGGTGGAAGGTATTATAAAGAAGGCACTCAGCACTCTGAGAGCTCGTTGGTTGGAAATGGGGTCTTAATCAGTATGTAGAATTTCTTTAACACTCTTCTCAATAAGGTCTCAGCCCTACCCTCAGTTGTGCTAGTGTCCCTCAGTCCAGCCCTGTCTATATAACATCTACAAATAGTGTACCTCCCATTTCCTGCCACTAAGAGAAAAGGGAGGGCACCTTGCTTCAGTGATTGGGGAAGGAATTCTCAGATACATGTAGTCCTTGTACAGATTTTCAGCCACTGTTGTTTTCAGCCTCTCCTTGGACCCTCAATATGAATCATTACTTTGGATGGATTTGATTTTCTTATTAATCCTATCCACCTGCACCCCTACTTTCTACTCTCATTTGACAACAGAAAAAAGTAAAATCTGTCCATAACCAATTGTCTGTATACTTTGCATCTTCCAAAAATTTTAGTGACTTTTCTCCCCTGCTGTTTACTCTTCTATTCTTTTTGTCTTCATAGGTTCATTTATGTTAAACCTTTGCTCTCTGTTGTTTAAATGAAGTTTCAGGGGGGAATTGAGATAAACTGGTATGCTCAAACTGGAAATGATAATGCCATCCTTACTCTCAGTTATTTTATCCCAGCTTCTCCAAAC